CTATTTATCTGTCTATTTGTCTATCTGTCTATCTGTCTTTCTGTCTATCTGTCTATTTGTCTTTCTGTCTATCTATCTATCCATCTATCTATCTATTCATGTATCTTTAGCTGCCTGCCTACCTATCCATACCTGTTTGTCTATCGATCTTTCGATCGATGTATCTGCCGATCGCTCTGTAACTATCTATCTATCTATCTATCTATCTATCTATCGATCTCACAACCTATGTACCGGTCTGTCTGTATGTGTGTCTATATCTATTTCTCTGTCTACCTATGAGGGTGTATCTACATCTATCTGAATCTTTTTATCTCTCTATCTCTCCATTCCTCTATCTCTAGTCACCTATTACATAGCTATCCATCTCTCAGTCCCTCTGTCCGTCTCTCTGTCTGTCTGCCTGTCTGCCTGGCTGCCTGTCTGCCTGGCTGCCTGCCTGGCTGGCTGCCTGGCTGTCTGTGTGTCTGTGTATCTGTGTCTCTGTCTGTCTGTCTGTCTGTCTGTCTGTCCGTCCCTCGGTCCGTCGGTCTGTTTGTCTGTCTCTGTCAAAGAAGCCTCGCATCCTAAACCCCGATTTATACCCTTAATGCCGTAAATCATCAGCTCAGTACCTGAAGCTACGTCCCTACATTTTCGGATGTAGAGTTTAAGGCCTACCATGCAAGGCACCTCTTCCAGCCATCGCACGGTGCTCGGGGCTCGCCGGCTGGCCTTCGCCTGAGCGTCTCGAAGAGGAGGAGCTTAGGATCTAGTTTACAATAAATTCTTAGGACCTGAGTTTGACGTTTTCGTCAGGCCCCGGGGGTGAAGATGGGCTGAGTCATCCGGATTTCGGGGATTAGGGTTCGGATCTAGGGCTTGGCGGCTCGGGTTCTCATTCTGGCTGTTATGCTGGTATGCTATAGTGTGAAATTTTGGAGTTTGGGTTCAGGTTTACTGGGTGCTGAAGCTTTGGGTACAAGGTGTGCTCAGGATTTAGGATCGCATAAGGCTTCGAGTTGCGGATCGAAGGTAATTAGTTTCGCAGCACCTGTTCGGGAAGCCAGGCTTCAACACCAAGTACGGGAACAAGGTTGCGACTTTCCGGCAGACACGTGATTTTTCGGCCAGAACCTTCGGATCTTCCTCTGACTTCTCGGTGGCACGATGGGTTGCTGTCTTAACGCGGTGTGTTCGAAGCACAAATCAGAACTGGAACAGAAACCCTAAATTCAACACCGGGTCTTGACACTGTGTTCGCCAACCTTTTCGAAGCTTTCGGAAGGAAGCATCGCTTTGATCGTTTATTCGGAATTCGGATCGCGTGCTCATCCCCGAAGTCCGAGACCCGAAAACTGCAATCGAAATTCCCGGTACGAAAGTTCATATATATATATATATATAAATGTATACATATATCTATCTTGAATCTGCCGGAAGCAAGTGATTTCGTGCATGTTTGTTTCCTCAACTTTTGCCCAAATGCGATACTGATGTTTGTGTTTTATGAAGCTGAAGATGTCGGCATGCACGATGGAAGCACAATCTCAGCACCGGTAGCACTTGAAAGGTCCTGTCCTGGTCAAAGATTTCTGCTGGGTATCGCTCTACTCTTGCCAGAGTAGTAGTAGTAGTAGTAGTAGTAGTAGTAGTAGTAGTAGTAGTACTAGTAGTAGTAGTAGTAGTAGTAGTAGTAGTAGTAGTAGCAGTAGTAGTAGTCGTGGTAGCAGTGGTAGTAGCAGTAGTGGTAGTAGTAGTAGTAGTAGTAGTAGTAGCAGTAATAGTAGTAGTAGAAGTAGCAGTAATAGTAGCAGTAGAAGTAGCAGTAGCAGTAGCAGTAGCAGTCGCAGTCGCAGTAGCAGTCGCAGTAGCAGTAGTAGAAGTAGTAGTAGTAGTAGTAGTAGTAGTAGTAGTAGTAGTCGTAGTAGTAGTGGTAGTAGTAGTAGTAGGAGCAGTAGGAGTAGTGGTAGTAGTAGTCGTCGTCGTCGTTGTCGAGGTCGCTACTCACAGTAATCAGTAATCGTGCCAAGCGCTGTAACCATAGTACTGGCAGCAACAAAGCAGTAAGCGTAGTAATCGTAACAGCAGTCGTAGCCGCCGCAGCAGAAGAAGCAGTCGTCGTAGTAGTCGTAGTAGTTGCCGTCGTCGTCGTCGTCGTAGTAATTTGCAGTAGTCGTGGCATAGTAGTCGTTATAGACCCAGTGGGTCAAAAGTAGGACGAGTAGTAGTAGTGGTGGTAGCAGTAGTAGCCGTCGTCGTAGTCGTCGTCGCCGTCGTCGTAGCCGTAGTCGTAGCCGCAGTCACAGTCGTCGTCGACGTCGTCGTCGTCGACGACGTAGTACTAGGAGTGGTAGTAGTGGTGGCAGCAGAAGCAGCAGCAGCAGCAGTAGCAACAGCGGTTGCAGAAGCAGTAGCAGTAGCAGTAGCAGTGGCAGTGATGAAGAAGACGCCAGACACTGTTTATGACAAGGTGACAGCAGAGATGGTGCAGATGCTGGTGATGCTGGTGACGCTGGGGTGGTGATTGTAGCGAGTGCCGCCAGTGGCGGCGATGATGTCGACGTCGACGTTGGTTGTGGTCATTGTGGTGGTGGTGACGATGGAGATAGTGATGATGACATGGCCTTCATGGTGACGCTGACGCCGACACCGACGCTAATGCTGATGCCGGGGCTGGTGCTGGTGACGGTAGTCGTGGTTCGAATGAGGCTGGTTGTGAGGATGGACATCATCAAGTTCTTCCGACAACTGTTGGTACCGCACGAGAATGTACGTACGGACGTACGTACGTACGGACGTACGTACGTACGTACGTATGTATGTATAAGTATATGTCAATGTAAGAAAACATGCAAGTATGGAAACAGAACAGTAGCAAGTCAACATATATACTAAATATGTACACATAATATGTAGAAAGCGCGTACCACCCATGTCCGGCCTCCTGCACCGAGGTCGGCACATACGACACGTATTTCGTGAGCTGTGCCTCCAGCCGTCAAAGTGGGAGGACTTAAAGACTGTCATCACTTGGGTGGTGATTTAACGGCATTATCCGACGACGACTGCCAACACCGCGCGGATGCAGCTACTAGCGGCCAGCTCTACCAACTGCCAACCCACTAGCATCCAATTCTGGGACTGGGGAGCTTGGCTACTGGAAGCCTTAAAGGTTTCTTTCAAGAGCTACGTTAATCCTTTCAGGGCTCCTTTAAAGGATTACTTTAAGGGCACAGGCAAGGAGAAGGCCAGGAAAGCGCCGACGTCTAAACCCTAAAGCGGGCGTTGCTCAAAGCTTTATCGCAACCTTAGGGGTTTCCTGAAGGCTTCGATAAAAGGTGCCTTCGCGGTAAGCCCTGGACAGCGCGGAAGCTCTAAGCTCAGGCACACATTTTTTGGAGACGTGGGCTGTGATGCCACAGGTTTGGCAGCCCAGGGGCCCACATCTACTGCCGGGAACGTGGCTTGAAAACTTCGGGTTTATGGCTTCTTTTTAGGGTTTAGGGTTTAGGGTTGAGGGCTTATGGCTTCCTTTTAGGGTTTAGGGTTTAGGGCGTAGGGTGTAGGGATAAGCGGGGAATGGCAGAAACCATGGCCCGAGAGACAACGGGAATCAAACACAACCACTCATGAAGCACGGTGCAACCCACGGAAACCGAACAAAAAAAAACTTCGCCAGAAAGACATGAGAGGCAAAGACAATGCCAAACCCTGAACCCATGAACCATAAATCCATAGACCCTACATAGCTCCATAAACCTTGTACTCCAAACCCTAAACTCCCACATCCTATGCCTTCCCCAGGAGGAGGAAGATCGCTGCGAAAAGCGCCGAGGAAGCAAAGGCGGAGAACAGAACGGTGGCCCGAAGCCTGGTTTTGTCTTCTTTCGGTTTGGGCGGCTGACAGCGCAGGGGTTTGGCAATCAGAACCCTAAACCCTAAACCCTAAACCCTAAACCTTATACCCTAAACCCTAAACCCTAAACCTTAAACCCTAAACCCTAAACCTTAAATCCTAAACCCTAAACCCCAAAGGGGTTTAGGGTTGAAGCTTCAGGGTTCAGGTCTCAGGCTTCAGGCCTCAAAGCTCGGGGGAGAGGTTTGGGGCTCTCTCGGTGCAGGCTGGCAAAGGGGGGGGGGGGCCTGAACTCAGGGGCTTAGGGTTTTAGGGTTTTAGGGTTTTAGGGTTTAGGGTTTAGGGCTTAGGGTTTAGGGCTGAACTCAGGGGCTGTCCTTAATCTGACTGAGTGGGTCCAATTCCTGCTGCTGAACACAAACGATTTAGGGTTTAGGAATTTTCATCGAAAGCTGAAAACTGCGACTGCCGACTCTATGCCCTGAACTCCTCACGGCGGTAGGCTTTCGGGACCAACGTCCCATCTCCCGAAACCCTGAAGAACCCTAAAAGCCTAACCCCCAAACACTAAAACCCTGAACCACAACCCCTAAAACTCTGAACCCCAAACCTTTTAAACTCCACACCCTAAACCCTAAACCTAAAACCTTTAAAGTCACCTTGCAGGCCGGAAGCTGTGCATGATACTCCTCGCATGCCGACAGGTTGTCCGCCAGGTGAGTGCCAGTGCAGAATTCCACGGTCTTGGTTCACAGTGTTGGGTTTCGGGTTTCGGGTTTAGGGTTTAGGGCTTAGGGTCTCGCTGGGTTCGATGTTTGGGGTTTCTGCGAGAATACTCGCCCTTTTTACACCCCGGATGCTAAAACCCTTGTTAACCTTTGCCTCCGTGACATGTGGGGGCTTCCGAAACTGGGGGACCCTAATATAGTACTCTAAATAGTAGGTCCTTATTATCAGGAGTCCATAGTAAAGGTAGCCCTTAGTTTCGGAAACTCCAATGTCTCAACAGCCATGACCCCGAATGCCCTAGTCCCTTACCGGGCCGGCGTACCCCTTGCTCACACCGGCCCAGTTTGGCCATCCGTACCGCAAACTGTTGCAGCAGCGTCAGGAGCTGATGAGTTGGTGACGATTTTGCCTGTCGTGAATAATTATGGTGATGAAGATGACGGCGACGACGACGATTATGATGAAATACGATAGACCACGGATGTAAAGCGTACAAGTCGCAGGGATCAGAAATCTCAGACAGGCCGAGAGACGCTGTAGTCGTCCCCAGCCAAACGCCTGACGAAATCTTGGATGTTGTCCGTTTCCCAGAGTCGTCGCGAAGAGCTGCCTCGGGCTGCGACACACAGACTTTACACTTGGAGGATCATAGCATCCGGGCCCGAACACACCCCAAATACCCAACTGCACCCAAAATCTGCTTGACAGGGCACGCGGTTGATTTGTTCATATTTGTATTTACACTTGTAACTATACACACACACACATCACACACACACACACGTCTATATACATCTACGAAAGTATATGCATCCAACCACCATCCATCCATGCCATCCGTCCAGCCATCCGTCCATTTGCATGATTCTATATGCGCACTGCTGCAATGCGCATGCTGACGCCACATAATTAATCTGTGTATACATAAGTACATAGCTTGGCTTCATGGTTTTATGTATCTATCGATTTAGCCACATTTGTTCTGCAGATTGATGCTTTTATTCATATGTATGTATGTATGTATGTATGTATGTATGTATGTATGTATGTGTGTATACATAAGCTATATATATATATATATATGGTACACGGATCTAACTTCGAGCATTTGCCTGAAGACTCTTACGACGCTTTCCGATGCCTATAACTTCACGCAACTATGCGCGCTACCTTTTTGGTTCGGTCTTCAGTCTTTGTGTCTTACATGATAAACCAGCTTGTAAACTCAAGGAAACCCTTCCTCTTAGGCCTGATTGCGGGGCTGCCGTTATCATCCTCATATGTCTACCAACGCAATGCCGGATGATGCAGCACCGCATAGCTAGACACATTTGCAACACATTCGGTGAAAGGGATGCTGGTAATTGGAGTTTGAGGTTTCAGTTCACGGGTCAGGGTTCAGGATTGAAAAGTTGTGGGTGGAAGGGAGAGGCTCGGAAACCAAGGGGCTTGTAGGGTACTGCAGCTCTAGTTGTCCCGCGACACTTTCGCCAATCTTCTGCACAAAGGTCGCAAAGAAAACCACCGGATTCCTTGGCTGTGCGAAGGGTGGAAAAGCCCTAGGGTTCGGGCTTCCAGGCCCCGAATATCAGGGATAAATATGTGTGTATGTACATACACACACACTTGCACGTCTGTCTGTAAACATGCATGTATATGTGTAAATACCAAAAAATATGCAGTCAGCCAATCGCTTTATGTATCTATCTGCTTGCTATAAACATATTGTTGTTGACTGCTTCGCATGCTTATCTTACTCATAATATTACCAAACAACAGTCTGAACCGTTGGATATCAACTAACCCGTTGACGAGTTAAGCAATCAGTTAAGTAAGCAAGACAGGAAGGAACGAAGCAACGAATTGCCTGCCTAACTTACGACTAAGCGATCAGTTACTTGAGCAACAGTTTACTCAACCAATTCATCGGAGGAAGTCCGGCATTTTCGGGCTTCAGGCTTTTAAGGTTTAGGGTTTAGGCTTCGGTGGAGTTTACAACACATCACGACGAGGGCATCTCTGAAGCGACGTCCCTCCATCCATCTCCGCAAAGGCTCTCAGACTCTGTGCAGCACCCTCCGTCTAAAGTTGAAACCAAGAGCCCCTAGTGTGAGCCCTTTGCCCTGGGATCCATATACACCTACTATATACCCTATTTGTACCTTGAAGGGTCCCTAAAAGGCCTAAGGGTCCATAGTAGGGGCCCATACTTCTCACCTTAGACTCCACGGAGCCTAAACTACGCTACTTCCCGAACCTGCGGACCCTGAACTGAAGCCAAAAGTCAGGTCGGGACCGCCGATGGCCACGTTGACCTCCACAAGACAGCTTTGTATTTAATTTTGGGGGGTTGGGGGTTGAGGGTTTAGGGTTTAGGGTTTAGGGTTATTTAGGGTTGGGGGTTTAGGGTTGGGGGTTTGGGGTGGGCTCGAAATTAATTCGAGGGCTGAAGGCCGGGGTTACCCCCTAGTCCTTAAACCACAAACCCTAAACCCCTCAACTCTCAACCCCTCAATCCTAAGCGCCCAAACCCTAAACCCCAAACTCCGCTCCCAACCACCCTGAACCACAAGGAGAAATCACACAGAACCCGACCGGCAAGAGCCTTGGAGAAGCAAGCGACGAGGCAGCCCATGATGAGGGCAGTGCTCAGGTTCATCTTCACTCCTGCAATCCAAGTTGGGGTTTAGGGTTTAGGG